AGACGAAATTATTTAATGATAGTTGTAGAAAATTAAATATTTAGGCAAAATATTATATCCTGTGATGAAAATTATATGTCTATATTTTATTTCCCGTGTCCTGTCCGGCCGTAAATCAATCAGAATTGATGTCTGAGTGTCGAAGACAAGCCTTACAGTTTTCCTCTCACAGGTGGAGCATTCAGCTGTAATGCCTCCTCTGATACTGATAGAAACATTTTTGGTTGTTTTAAATCCCAATGGACACAAAGACAGAAATGAAAGATGAAGGGGGAGAAGAGAGGAAGAAGTGGGGAAGAAAAAAAGAGTTCACAAAAATAAACAATAAAGGATGTACAAGAATGCACTTTTGGATCTGCAGAAAAAAAGAGAGACACACAAAAATATATCACAAGCAAAATATTACTGCTTCACCCGCATGAGGATATATAACAGTAACAGTCTTTTGAAACACATGGCAATGATTCATAGTGCATTTAGTGCCAACCATAGCCTTAGGTTGTATGTAAATAGGCCCTAGTCTGTACTTGTGAAAGCACCCTGTGAGCACCTGTGTGCATAAACGCACTTGTGTATGTGGAGTTTCTCTGTAGGAGTGTTCTATGGTGAGTATGAGGAGCCACAGACCTGCCCCCAAAGATATGGGAAAGATGGAGGAGCTCCAAGCCCCAGAGATCTAGAGGTCTCCCCCCGAGCGCAGAGATCCCAGAGAGACTGCCGCTGGAAAAGCCCCAGCCACCCTCCTGAGAGCCGCTGAGGGTCACCTTGAGGCGGCCAATCAGCAGCAGTGTCAGACGCCCAGGAGATAATAACAAGCCCCCAGACCTGCCTACAGCTGCCCACTCCAGGACAGGCTGAGCTCAGAACTTAGCGGGCTGAGACCCAAGGGCGCCCAACCCCAGTGGAGACCCAACAGAGCCCATGGACCTGGACCTCACCAGGCAGCCACTGGGGGTGAGGCGGGAGATGCCAAAAAGCTTCCAGCAATGTCTAAATAAATGTGGAAAACAATGAAGGGAGGTTGTATTGACCCGATTCTTACCCATATTATAACAATGATTGTATTTTCACCCAAGAAGCTGGCTGTGCACATTTCCTACCTGTATCAGGCATCAACTTAGACCCAAAACCCGGTAAATGCATGCAGAAAGTTTAAACATGGACCCATCAGCATGTGGTTTTACCTCCATAGATTTTAATACTGTCCATTTTAAGCCTGAACACAACAGAGAAGTATGTAAGTAGCTGTGAAAACATGCAGGAAAACATGAACATTTTCAGAAAGGTCTTCTCCAGATTCCAGCCATGAAAACAGACACAACTGTATCGACGGTGAAAGGCCTCAGTGGCTGCCGGGGTGAAAACGCACACGAGGGATTGAAATATGTTGCAACGTTTGCAACTATTTGCACGAGATAAGGGTGAGGTCAGAAAGGTGTATGTGTTTATATGGTGCTGGGTATTTGTTCGGTCTATGATAAAGGAGTGCTCCAGAACAGAGCCATAAAAACTGTGCCATGGCAACACATTTGCCTGGAAGAAATGCTTCATGCAAATAAATGAACCTGTCAATGATGATAACTGTTAAACAATAACACAAGCTGTCATGTATTCTTTAATCATTTGTCAATGCGTTTACTCACCTCAAAGCAAATTTTATCTTTCAAGCATATTTAAAACAACTTTCGCTGACCAACAAGCAGAAATAGCAAATAAAGAATAGCAACAATAATAACAATTAAATCAATCTAACTGGATTAAAAGCCAAAGAGGGAAAATGGTGCGATCAACGCTGTGCACTAGCCTCATCTTTAGAGCATCTAGGGAGGAGATCACGCTCAGGATGGAGCATGCACTAGATCCAGCATGGAGACTTTAGTCATTTAACATGTGAAAATGCAACAAGAAAATCTCCAACTCGATTCTAAAACCACCTGGGAGCCAGTGGAGTGCAGCGAGGAAGCGACTAGCGTTGTTCTGAACCTGCTGCAGACGAGAGAGCGAGGCCGGACTAACACAAGCATTCAGTAAGTTGCAGCTGGCAGGTGATATGACTCACCCTCTCAAAATCGCTGAAATGACGTTGTTTTGAATAAAAGTCTCGGTTTTTTTAAATTAACTAGAGTTTATCTGCCTCTCGATGTTAAAATTAGAATCTAAAAACGCGTCTAAACCTTTCACCTGTGACTTTCTAAAAGGTTGTAAAACACTGAAATTTCATTGGGAACGTCTGGATTTAAACACATGACCTCAGTCGTGTCCTCATTAAAACTGAAGGAGCGAGCCAGGATGAAGGTAGTAGTGATGCTGTACAGGCTGAGATCTTTTCAAGCACTGCATATTTTCCCTGTTGTTTTATCAGTAGGGAAGTAGGTCAGCCAGCCCGCATCATCGACAATTGAACAAATGTAGAAACAATCCATTTTGTTCAACAAATGAGTGATAAGTTCTACATCCCATAATCGTTTCCTGTTTTAAATCTTCTTCCTGAGCTACCAGACACTGACAACACTGCTGTGTTTACATGAGAATTTGTGTGTTGAACCAGGATCTTCAGCTTCAGCTCCTATTAGACATTTAAACAAGGGTTGAAACACTTGTGGTATTCTGGCGATAACTAACAAGACATTTTCAGTGATTACTTTTCACCTCAGATGCTGTTAATCAATGCCAGCGGTCACTTCCATAGCTGCTATTGCACCAGTCAGGATTTTAAACTATTTTAAGAAGCTCCTTGCGTTATGTTTGACACTCAAGGTGCTTCACATGAGCGGTGTGGCATTGATCAGTCAAATCACTCCATTTTCCCCTCACTCATGAATAAGATCCTGAGATACTTAAACTCATCCACTTGGGGCAGGACCTCATCCCTGACCTGGAGAAGGAATTCTACCCTTTTCTGACTCAAGACCATGGTCTCTGATTTAGAGGAGCTGATTCTCATCCCAGCTGCAAACCGCTCCAGCGAAAGCTGGAGATCATGGTTCGATGAAGCCAACAGGACCACATCATCTGCAAAAAGCAGAGACCGAATCCTCAGGCCATCAAACAGATCCCCTCCACACCTTGGCTGCACCTAGAAATCCTGTCCATAAAAGTTATGAACAGAATCGGTGACAAAGGGCAGCCTTGGCGGAGTCCAACTCTCACTGGGAACGAGCCCGACTTACTGCCGGCAATGCGGACCAAGCTCTGGCACCGGTCATACAGCGACCTAACAGCCCGTATCAGGGCCTGGTACCCCATAATCATGAAGTACCAAAGTGCCCCCTGAGGGACGTGGTCGAAAGCCTTCTTCAAATCCACGAAACACATGTAGATTGGTTGGGCGAACTCCCACGCACCCTCCAGGAGCCCCCTAAGGCTATAGCGCTGGTCCAGTGTTCCACAGCCAGGACGTTTGGCAATCCGATGGACCCTCCTCTCTGAATAGACCTTACCAGGAAGGCTCAGGAGTGTGATCCTCCTGTAGCTGGAACACACCCGGCAGTCCCCCTTTTTAAATACGGGGACGACCACCCCAGTCTGCCAGTCCAGTAGAACTGCCCCCGGTGTCCATGCGGTATTGCAGCAACCAACACAGCCCTACAGCACCCAGAGCCTTAAGGAACGCTGGACAGATCTAATCCACCCCCTTGCCACCAAGGAGCTTTTTGAACAACTCAGTGACCTCAGCACCAGAGATTGGGGAGCCCAGCCCAAAGTCCCAAACGCTGCTTCCTCACTGGAAGACGTGTTGGTGGGATTGAGGAGGTCTTCAGAGAACTCCGCCCACTGATCTACAATGTCTTGAGTAGAGGTTAGCTGCACACCTTCCCCACTATAAACTGTGTTTGTATAAAGAACTTCTTTCCCCTCCTGAGGCGCCGGATGGTGTACCAGAAAAATCTAAATTAACCCTATGAACTAAAAGAGTACAAACAACATTATATACTCAAAAACTTGGGAATGGGGGTGGAATACTTGAACTAACCAGGGAAATCCAAGTGTGCAATGTTCAGTAGAAAACTTTAAAATACTTTAACTGGAATAATAGGCAGAAATAGCATTTTTTTTAAGCCAAAGTTTTTTGAGCGGTCCAACTAGTTAAATAACAACTGCAGACCTACGTTTATGTTTTTCATATACTGTCAGAACTACTTTTGCATCAGTGGACAATACAATTTATTGGTACACAATAACAACTACAGAAAGGTTTCTGTGTTCCAAATGAGTTAGGACTACTCATGCACTTATTCTCTCTGGCTGATGTGGGCTGAAAAAAGACCTATTGAGACCAAAAAAAAAATGTCTACACACTTTTAGAAACAAACCATAAAATCACCATAAGAAGAGACACAACCTGAAACTTCTACACCCCATTCTTCAGCATTAGTTACACATACTTGTTCAAATGCCAAGAAACCAAATGAATTTTAAAGCCTGCTGGTCCACTCTGTGATGACGCTGTAGCGGGACAACCTAATACAAACCTGCTGCTGTAAATCTGACACACAGAAAACACAGCAGGTTGAGCCTGCACCTCGAGGACAGGATGAAGGGATTCAGAACGTATAAAATAAAGGATAGAACCTCGTCTCAGAGTTTTGGGTTGACATTCTTTCTCGGTGTGATTTATGGATGGTAAACCCAGTTAAAAAGTCTCTTGTTGATCCATAAGAGCATCATAATGTTAGTTTTCAACTCTTTCTCTTGCAAAGTATGCTCTTACACAAAACAACTGTATACCTGATTTTTTTTGACGATGCACAATATTCAAAAGATCTAGTTTGCATCTTTCGTTTGGTAAGAAACTAAATTGCACCTTGTGTCCCTTTGTGTAAACACTGGGCTCAAAATAGACCATTGTACAATAGACGCTTTAGTCGCGGTGCTGGCAGGTTTCTGACCCACATCACTGGTCCATTGGGTTGGAGGCGGAGCCTTGCAGCACACCAAGGATGAAAGACAGGAGGAGTAGCCAATCAGAGGAGGCGCTGAAGCTTCGGCCCATCAGAGGCTCCGGCTGTGGGTCTGAGCCACCTGTAGCAGTCCGGTGGAGACGGCGTTTGAACGGGACCGTTATACTCACCACGGCGGCACACGGTGCTCCGCAAGCGGCCGATCCTCCTCAAGAAGAGCCACAAACTCACCTGAAACATGTTCCTCAGATTTCTAATGGTCGTCTCCCTCTTTGGAGCTGTCACCAAAGGTGAGTGGAGTTTGGGTTTTACTCTGTTGTTACGCTAACAGCTGAACCCGTCTAATACACGTTTGTGTTAGCATGCTGGTTTAAATTCATTTAACCCCATTATTAATGCCATTATTATACCGTCATACGTCATTAGTGTGCAGCCACTGCTTTAAAACGGTGTTATATAACAGCAATTTGTGATTTAATTAGTAACAATGCATCACATGAATCCGTTTTAATCATTAACACTTAGCTTTTTTATGAAAACTGTTCACTTTTATAAAAGGTCAAAAGGGTGTTTTATGTAAATGCTTTTAACACGATGCCCAAAAATCCAGTTACAGGTTAGAACATAACACACACACACACACACACACACACACACACACACACACACACACACACACACACACACACACACACACACACACACACACAGAGAGAGAGAGAGAGAGAGAGCGAGAGAGATCTTCCAGTGACCAACCCTGATTGCTGCTTTTTGGAGATATTTATTCACACACACACACACATACACACACACACACACACACACACACACACACACACACACACACACATACACACACACACACACACACACACACATACACACACACACACACACACACACATACACACACACACACACACACACACATACACACACACACACACACACACACACACACACACACACACACACACACACACACACACACACACACACACACACACACACACACACACACACACAGAGAGAGAGTGAGAGAGAGAGCGAGAGAGATCTTCCAGTGACCAACCCTGATTGCTGCTTTTTGGAGATATTTATTCACACACACACACACACATTCACACACTGATGGTGATGAGATACGATGTAGCCACAGCTGCCCTGGGGCGCACTGACAGAGGCGAGGCTGCCGAGCACAGGCGCCACCGGTCCCTCCGACCACCACCAGCAGGCAAGTTGGGTTAAGTGTCTTGCCCAAGGACACAACAGCAGAATTCTCTGTTCGGAGCCAGGATCGAACCTTCAACCTTCCGATTACTGGACAACCCGCTCAACCTGTTGAGCTGCTGCTGCCCGTATTACCAGTGTGAATAGTTGATGGTGAGGTTGTGGACTGGGAAAATGTCAGATTATTTATTTATTTATTTTTTAGCATTGGTGTGTGGACAGAAGATCAGAGTTTGAGTTTGGTTAATCTCCGACTGAGTCGATCTTAATAAATAGTAGCTGATTCCAATCAATAGATGCTTTTTTGCGCATCCCTAACTATTTACATAACATCCGGAATCAAGACTAAGGAGAGTGGTCCCCTGTAGTTGGAACACATCCGGCAGCCCCCCTTTTTAAATCCACCCCAGCCTGCCAGTCCTGTGGAACTGCCGCCATGTCCATGCAGTATTGCAGCAACCAGCACAGCCCTACAGCATCCAGAGCCTTAAGGAACTCTGGACAGATCTCATCCAGCCCAGAGCCTTGAGCTTTTTGACCACCTCAGTGACCTCAGCACCAGAGATTGGAGAGCCCAACCCAAAGTCCCAACCGCTGCTTCCTCCGTTTGATGAGGACCTCAATACAGACTCAATAACCAAAAAGTAGAAATAAACAAGCGGATATTTTCACAAAAAACAATTATGTTTTGATAAGATTTTACACATTTAAGCAGCAATTTTCCCACATTTGTGCTAATTATGAAAACAAATCCTATTTTTGTCACACTTCACATTTATAAGGGGTTTCCTACAACAGTCAGTGTCCCTTCAGAGAGACTCAAAGCTCTGTGAGGGCGGACAGATGCCAGCGACGAGGCATGGGTCAGAAAACCTCCTGCTCCCCTGAAGCGCTGCACGCTCTGCTCTCAGACTTTACTCTCTGGCCTCTTGACAGCCTTAAGAAGCTGCTTGGGGAATTTTGAGTTACTCTTCAGTGTGCACTGTGTCACTTAACTTCTCACAAACCCATTAGTCACTTCTCTTTCTGTTGTTATTTTGAGCTAAATGTTTCTCTGTGTTGTAAAGCCTCTCAAATGAAGGGCCTGTCATGTGCTGGAAGCCCCCAAGCTCCATGCTTCCCTTCCTGTCATGTGTTCACTTGTATAGAAAGTGTTAAACAGTGAAGATTCAGTGTTTGTGTGTGTGTGTGTGGAGGGGGGGGGGGGGGGGGGGATCTGAACAAGCAGTAAAGAGGTCCAGATGAAGAGAACTCCTAAGGGTTGTGCTTCCCTTCCTCCTCTGAGTCTGGCGCCACACTTTGAGGAGCCCCCTTGTAATAAAAGTCACTCATAGAGGAGCAGGGCTCTCCGTGCGCCCGCCTCGTGCGCCACATGCTGAATCATGACTCCTCCACATCCAATCCAATCCCAATCCAATTTTATTTATAAAGCGCATTCACAAGGCATTACAACCAGACAAGGCGCTGTACACTAAAAATGTTGGTTAATTAAACTGGCGTTATACAAACATGCCGAACACAGATAAAAGATAAAAAGGAAATACAACAAAATTCCCAAAAATAACAGCTAAAAATCAATAAGACACAGGGTGAAGTAAAAATAGGAAAAAACATTTTACAAAGAACCTCAATAATACGGAAGCCGATAATTGTGGAGTCAGTTTATAAACAGTGCAGATGTCAGTGAGGTTCATAATTATGTTGTATAAGCTAGGTTGAAGTAGTGAGTTTTCAGGCGTGATTTAAAAATGCTAGCTGTTGGTGCTAGCCTCACTAGCAGTGGTAATGCATTCCACAGCTGTCGTGTTTGTCAGCCAGTCACCATGAGCTCATAATCAGAGCATGAATGACCCAATCAGGCTGCTGCATGGGATCTAAAAAGTCAAAATTTTAATTTTGATAACAAAATAAAATAGGGCTGCACAATATATCGTAAACATATCGTTATCGTGATATCAGCGTGTGCAATATGCACATCGAAAAGAACAGATAAATATCGCAATGAAGGGTCAGCTCAAATGTTTGCTACACATGATGCATTCTGTCAATCAAACGGAAGCATGTTTTTTTTTAACAAATCAAATAGAGCTCTTCACGCATTTGGCCAATTGGGTGTGTCCTCATAGGTCAGATGCCCGCCCCCGAGGCGGATGGTCTTTAATTTTGATGGTTCGCAAACACCTGAGTTAGCTTCGTTCTGCTCTTTTTACTGATTCTGCTTTTCCTGGGATCCACTGATTGCATTTTCTTGTTCATTTTCTTTTTCGCTTTCCTCATATCTTTTGCTTTTCTCATTTTTATGATTTTTTTATTTCTTTGTTTTTGATTATTTTTGTCCCTGAGTTAAGTTTTTATTTATCACAAGTGATTGTGTCATCGCAACATGAATCACTGTTATCGAACATCGCAGGTTTTCCTGATATCGTGCAGCCCTAAAATAAAACATTTAAATGTTTTAACGTGCATGCTTTGATTTGCTTTACTGGTGTGAAACGCAGTATTTTGGCTCTCCATGCAGAACTATTGAGCTGAGTTTCTGTTTCTGAGTTCCTCCTCCTCATTTCTGTGAAACTCTGATTTTTGTTCCCCTGTCCTTTGAAACTTCCCCGTAAATATTTACCTATCTTCCTTGTTTCCGTCCCACCTGCTGAGCTTTATTGCCTTTTTTTTTTTTGACATTTCATACAAACTTGTTGCTGTTTGTCCTGTGCCTTCCTCCCCTCTATCTGCTGCATGCTGCTGGATTAGACCTGCTTCAGGGCAGTAAATCTCATCCCGTAATTGGAAAGCATGTGCTGGCGGAGCTCTAATTGGATATGATATGTGCAGAGTCTCTGCGAGCGAGCTTCTGCTCCAGGGAGCCATCTGTTGCCTTCGGGTTACAGTAAAGGAGGTTTGTTTACTCCTTTGGAGAGACGACTTTGACCTCTGGAAGATGCCGCTTACGTCAGAGGCTTTCTGATGAGCAAAGAGCGAGGAAAAAGGATATTTTGAAGTCATCACTTAGAATTGATAGAAATGGTATGAGAAACCAGATTAGCCGTGTAATTGTGTCCTCTGTATTCAGACGGCCTGTGTTTGTCTGCAGATGTGTGTTTTAGGCATCAAGCCTAGCTTGTCTGCAGCAGGAAGAGCCAAAGTCCAAGTCAGGGTCGAGTTTGTGACTATCCAGATGGATCACAGCACAGAGCTGCTCTACTTGAACTCAGCACCCATCAGCACTGACAATTTATTCTGCTTATAATACAATTAGGAAGATTTGATTTATGTTTGGATAGAAGAATAATCTGTAAACAGGGATCCAGTGAGAAAGTTTATAATATCATATTAATAATAACTTTTTTTTTTTGCTAGACATATTGTCCCAAATCTCTTTTTACGTCTAAGAAATCGAATAAAAACACAAAGAAAAAAACAACCCTGTTGGAATAGAAGTTATGTCTCCTTGGCAAAGAGGTAAAATAGCAACATGGACTGCTGCAGCAGTCGTTAGCTCAGTTTCTTAAGCTCTCTTTCTTTAACTGGAAGATTAGCAGTTTAATCCCCAGAGTGGGATGCTCCGTTTTTATTTTTATGACAAAGGTCATGCATTTCTATTGAAATACACAGCAAAATAGGGCTATACTGCATTTGAAATGTAGTTCACTGTGTGCAGAAGATAAGTTTATGTTTATTATCTGCACTAAAGTGAACAGCTGCTCCTATATTATAATTTGTATATAAGCCATAAAAAAGATTACAAAAATAAAGAAAACTAATGTTTTTTTTTTTTTTTTTTTTGCTTTTATGCATCTTTTTGTTTCATAGAAAATATATGCTGACAGAAAAGATGTGATTGAAAAAGGATTGAATTAGCTAGTGTTTTTTTAATGGGGGGGGGGGTCATTGAAGTTGTCACCCTTGTCACACCCACGGGTTTGCAAGTTAACAGCAACACAACTCTACCACTGACTCTGTTTACTTAGCATCACTGATGTTTTATCTCCACAAAAAACGCAAGCCTGGAGGAGTTCTGCTGTGTGGTGAAGTTGCTAATGCTAACTGTTAGCTTCTACTAGCC